AGTAACAACAAATGATGGAAGTCCTATTACTAAGGAATTAGCTGATTTAGTAAAAGATAAGCAATGGAAATGTGAGGAAAGTGATGGACAGTCGTTCAGTTTTCCTGGCGGCGTAAAGGCGAGTGAAGATAAAGAAGAATGTGGCTCACATGAAAAGGAAGAAAAGTAATAACAAAGAGAAATCTGGTTTACATTAAAAGGAGAGAAATGGTAAAGAAGAATCAGCCTTCCACGATGAAACAGCAGTGAGAAAAATTGCACACCACAACTCAATACATCAGATCTTGCTTTATGGCCGGCGATCCTAAATTCTGCCAATATGGATCGTACAATTTGGAACGGGGGGGGGGGAATAGAGGGTTTGATCTTTCCAGTAAATGAGCAGAAGCGACACTTCTCAAAGTCACACTGTGGTACAGTGCTCGAGAATGGTGAGACACTGAATAGGCGTTGGCTAGTATGCTCGAAAGCAACAGACAAAGTGTTCTGGGTTTTTTGCAAAACATTTGACAAGAATGCCAAATCATTGCTTGCATTTTCCGGGTACAAGTTACTGGCGTAACTTAGCTGATGATCTGAAGCAACATGAAAAGTCACTCAGCCATTTTACAGCCTACTCCAAATGGATGGAGGTCGAGTCAAGGCTCAAGCTGAATAAATGCACAGGTGCAGAAAACCAGTGCATTATTAACATAGCAACTCAGAACTGGAGGAACGTGCTCGAGCGTCTGATCTCAATTACCCTCTTCCTTGTAGGGGTAGCTTGACTGTTATATGTGGGGCGGCGGGGGGGCGGGGGGGGGGAGGAAACCACACACACACACTGAAGCCAGTTCCCTTGGCTCACTGGTTTGGGGGACAGGATGGCTTAACAGGGGAGCTCCAGCTGGTGCTGGCGGCTGCTCCGGCACTGCATGTCGCTGCTCCCCGCTGAGGCTGCTGCTGCTGCTGCTGTCCCAGGGATGCCACATGCCGGGCTCCTGCTTCCCACCCACCACCGCCCATTCCCATATCCCCTTCTCTTCCCCATCCCCCCCTGTTTCCACTCCCCACTGTCCCGTGCCCCATATCCCTCCCCTTCTCTTCCCCTCCCCTCCACATCCCACCCCCCCTTCTCCACTGTCTCTTTCCCCCCACCCCACCCCACCTCTTGCCCTGCCTCTGCCCCCACAGGCACTCCTGCTTGTACAGGAAACAAGCAGGCACTAGGGACCCAGGAGGCGGCATCCAGCTGTCAAGGCAGAGACCTGGAGAACATCTGCTCCATGTGGAGAGGGTGGGAGGGGGAGGCACAGCGTGGGAAGGACAGAGCCCCCCTTCCCCTCCTCTTGAAGGGCAGCACCACGCTCGCAGAAATGGGGGCGTGAAATGACACATGACCCCATGTAACTCCCTGCACTTCGCCTCTTTTGGGGGGGCAGTGCCCTCCCTACAGTCCCCCCCCAAACTACACCAATGCTCTTCCTTGCAAAGAATAATTTGTCTTTCCAGGGCTCCTTGGATAAGTTGTTCACTGAACATAACAGTAATTTCCTTGGTTTGGTAGAGCTCCTTGTGAAATACGACGATGTCATGCCTGAACACCTACTATGAATAGTTCGTAAAGAAGCAATGGACCATTACTGTAGCAAAGCAATTCAAAATGAATTGATTGACTTAATGGCAAGGAAGGTGCTTGTTACCACATTGATGCAGCTCAGCAAAGCAATGTACTACGCTATAATAATGGACTGCACTCCCAACAGTCGCCGTGAAAAGATGCCATTTACAGTAAGATTTGTTGACGACGAGGATGGCTGTATCCAAGGAAAGGAACACTTCATCTGTTTCCGACTCTACTGGAAAAGGCCTAACAGAACTATTCATGAACGTTTTGAATGAGAATAAAATAAGATGAGACTGCACCCTCAGCAAGTTCGAGGATGACACTAAGCTGTGGGGAGAGTTAGATACGCTGGGGGGTAGGGATAGGGTCCAGAGTGACCTAGACAAATTGGAGGATTGGGCCAAAAGAAATCTGATGACAAGGACAAGTGCAGAGTCCTGCACTTAGGATGGAAGAATCCTATGCACTGCTACAGGCTGGGGACTGACTGGCTAGGCAGCAGTTCTGCAGAAAAGGATCTGGGGATTACAGTGGACGAGAAGCTGGATATGAGTCAGCAGTATGCCCTTGTTGCCAAGAAGGCTAATGGCATATTGGGCTACATTAGTAGGAGCATTGCCAACAGATCGAGGGAAGTGATTATTCCCTTCTATTCAGCACTGGTCAGGCCACATCTGGAGTACTGCATCCAGTTTTGGGCCCCGCACTACAGAGAGGATGTGGACAAATTGGAGAGAGTCCAGCGGAGGGCAACAAAAATGGTTATGGGGTGGGGCACATGACTTATGGGGAGAGGCTGAAGGAACTGGGATTGTTTAGTCTGCAGAAGAGAAGAGTGAGGGGGGATTTGATAGCTGCTTTCAACTACCGGAACGGGGGTTCCAAAGAGGATGGAGCTCGTGTGTTCTCAGTGGGGACAGACGACAGAACAAGGAGCAATGGTCTCTAGTTGCAGTGGGGGAGGTCTAGTTGGATATTAGGAAACACTGTTTCACTAGGAGGGTGTTGAAGCACTGGAATGGGTTCCCTAGGGAGGAAGTGGAATCTATCCTTAGAGGTTTTTAAGGTCAGGCTTGACAAAGCCCTGGCTGGGATGATTTAGTTGGGGATTGGTCGTGCTTTGAGCAGGGGGTTGGACTAGATGACCTCCTGAGGTCCCTTCCAACCCTAATGTTCTATGATTCTATGAAAGCTTCAGGACTGCTGTGGCCACGCTACGACAATGGCGCAAACATGAAGGGAAGAAACAGTGGTGGCCAGGCAAGGATCCTTGCTCTGAATCCAAGGGCTTTCTTCGTGCCTTGTGGCGCCCATTCCCTCAACCTGGTTATGTCAGACACAGCTTTGTCATCTTTAGATTCAGTATCTCTCTTTGGAGTGCTGCAAAAGATATACGTCTGGTTTTCAGCATCAACTATCGGTGGAAGATCCTCACGGACACTGTTACAAATCTAATGGTGCAGTTGCTAAGTGACACTCACTGGGAGAGTCGCATTGACAGTGTGAGGTACCAAGTGACTGAGGTTTACAATGCTTGACGGAATGGTCGCAGTCGAGTAAAGCCAAGGCCGGAATGCAGCATGAGGTGCCAAGCTTGGCAAACCAGATCACTGACTTCAAATGTCTGGTCTCAATTGTGGTTTGGCATGATATCCTGTTCCAAGCAAATGTTGTAAGCATGGCACTAGAAACTCAATCGATGGACATTGCGATCGCTACTACTTTGATGATGTTCTGGGCCAAGGTATTCGAAGCGCCACAGGCCGGCAGGGACATTCTGAGGTAACGAGACCCACACGCAGCTAAGCAGTGAGTTATTTGCTTTATTGAAGGTTAGTGACACACCCACAACAGGGACTCCCAGCATTGCTGTCACGGAGGTGGAGAACCCAGCACACTTGCCTGGGACGGAGTCTGACGAAGGGGCAACCAGCGAGCCATAATAAGCAGTACACAGAAACAGCTCATGAATATATAATTAGGTACTTCCCTAAGGGGGCTTTCCGCTACCTGGCAACAGGCCATGCAAGGCAGACAAAACCGGCCTCAAACCAGTTAAAGTTGGTTCTCCATGTCCTACAGTGACCGGGCAGCCTCGAGAAAGCGTAAGTTCCCTAGCTAGGCCATAACAAGGTCTTCCGCAGTCCCTTACAGATGAGAAGCTGCCTTGATTTTGCTGTGGCTTTGATTTGAAGATGCCATCACTGCTGCCAAAGAAATGGCAGAAAACTTAGGAGTTGAGCCTGTCTTAAAGGAAACTCATGTTCACCGGAAGAAGAGACAGTTTGGTTACGAGGGTAGAGATGAGGTGATGGGATGTTCAGAAGAAAAATTCAAGAGGGAGTTTTTTTGCTCACTCATTGACACTGCTTGAGTGTCCAACGAAGAAAGGTTCGGACAATTGAAGCACCACAAAAAGATCGGGGGGAGGGTGTTGTATGACCTTAATAACCTGCTGGCAGACAGGAAAACACTCTTGAACAATTGTACAAACCTTCACCAGATGCTGACACATGGGGAATATTCAGACATCAATGATAAAGACCTCTATGTCAAATTGGACCACATCCATAACATTTTACCACTTGGTAGGCGCTCTCCACTCCAACTTCTCCAATTCATTCATGATGCAGAGCTAAAAGACTCTTTTCCTAATGTGTGGAGAGCTTTGAGGATTCTGCTCATGTTGCTAGTCACAGTTGTGAGTGGTGAGTGCAGTTTTTCAAAGCTCAGGCTCATTAAAACACATCTTCGATCGATGACGGCCAATGAGAGATTGACATCACTTGCTATTTTATCACTTGAAAATACCATTGGCCAGTCTTTGGATCTCTCGGACACTGGGCTTCAGTTCATGAGGGCAAAGGCGAGAAAAGCCACCTTTTGAACCAAAGGACTAGGGTTAACTTTCTAAACCTGTCACCTACTGTAACACTAACTAACACAGGTCCACCCAAGGTCAGTGCGCAGTTCCATTTCTTGATGTTAGTACATTTCAGCTATTCTTAAAATTAAAAGGTTTCTATAAGTTTAGAGGAAACAATTTTTTTATCTGCTTATATATCGCATGAATAAATACAGATTTTACAGATCCTAGTGTGCAAATTTATTGTCTTATATGACGGGGATAAATCATGCATGCACATTGTGCCTCACAGTTGTGAAATGGGCTACAAATGCAATAAAATATAAGGTATTCAGAAGTTTAACAAATGCGGGGGGTGCGGGTGCTGAAGATGCTCCTCTCCTGGGGTGATATTTGGTCTAGTGCCGGCCCTACCTGGGCCACCTGCATCCCCCATCCTGCTGCCCACCTGCCAGCATTACCCAGATCCCGCATGACCACCCTGCTGCCTGGACACGCCCGTCCCTGACCTGCTGCATGTACTTCCAGGCCAAGGGTGCCTATGAGAAGGTGGGGGAAGCCACCGAGACGGCTCTGACCTGCCTGGTGGAGAAGATGAATGTTTTCAACACAGATGTGCGGAGTCTGTCCAAGGTGGAACGCGCCAATGCCTGCAACTCTGTAAGTGTTCATCCACCAGGACCTTTGCCCCAGATACCACCCCACTGCCCCCTCCAAGACCCCCCAGTGCCCCTCCCCACCATGCCAATGCCTGCAACTGTGTGAGCATTTGCCCCCCTACTATTCATAACCACCCACTCTGCCTCCTCCCATCTGGCCCAGCAGGAGATGTGTTGTGCTGGGCTCCCCAGGGGGTCACACTCTCCTGGTCTGGTCTATTCCCCCCCCATTCCCTCCCACAGGCTGGCCGGTTAGGGTCTGTCCCTGTAGTCCCTGAGTCGGGGGGAGGAGCTGCCCTGGGCTCCATGTCTGGTGCTTTTTGGGGGTCACTGCTCCCCCATTAGCCCCTGTTCTGCCCTCCCCAGGTGATTAAGCAGCTGATGAAGAAGGAGTTCACCCTGGAGTTCTCCCGTGACAGGAAGTCCATGTCTGTGTACTGCTCCCCTGCCAAGGCCTCCCGCGCAGCTGTCAGCAACAAGATGTTCGTCAAGGTCAGTGCCAGGCTCCCATCCCCACGGAAACCAGGGTACTCTGGGTATCCCCCAGCTGCCTCCTCTTATCCCCACGGAAACCAGGGTACCCAGTGTCACAGAGCTACGGTGGGTTGGATGCTCTGTCTTTTATCCAAACCCTTTGGGAATGCCCCTATTGTTTACTAGGCCTAGCTTGTCACCAGGGGGAGCCACATGGCCCCACAATTCTGAGAAGGGGCTTCTGGGTACCAGCCTCCTTATCTCTCGGTGACCTCCTGCCAGTCAGGGAGCCGGAGCCAGTGGAGAACTGAGCTGTCCCGTGCAGCCCTGTTCCCCAAACTCCATCTCTCTCGGCCTGTCCCGCTCTCGCTCTGTCCCCGCTGGGCTCCGTCCGTCCGCCTCTCTCTCTGTCCGTCCGTCTCTCTCCGTCCGTCCGCCTCTCTCTGTCCGTCCGTCCGTCTCTCGCTCTGTCCCTGCTGGGGTCTGTTCATCTGCCTCTCTCTGTCTGTCTGTCTCTCGCTCTGACCCCGCTGGGCTCCATCTGTCTGCCTCTCTGTCCGTCCGTCTCTCTCTGTGCATCCGCCTCTCTCTCTGTCCATCCGTCTCTCGCTCTGTCCCTGCTGGGGTCCGTTCGTCTGCCTCTCTCTGTCCATCCATCTCTCACTCTGTCCGTCCGTCCGTCTCTCTCTGTCCCCACTGGGGTCCATTCGTCCGCCTCTCTCTGTTCGTCCGTCTCTCACTCTGTCCGTCCGCCTCTCTCTCTCTGTCCCCACTGGGTTCTGTCCACCCGCCTCTCTCTCTGTCTGTCCGTCTCTCGCTCTGTCCCAGCTGGGCTCTGTCCGTCCGCCTCTTTCTGTCCGTCCATCTCTCTCTCTGTCCGTCTGTCTCTTGCTCTATCCGTCCGCCTCTCTCTCTGTCCATCTGTCTCTCTCTCTGTCCATCCGTCTCTCGCTCTGTCCCCACTGGGCTCCGTCCATCCGTCTCTGGCTCTGTCTGTCCGTCTCTCTCTCTCTGTCCCCACTGGGCTCCGTCCATCCGTCTCTCTCTCTGTACATCCATCTCTCGCTCTGTCCATCCACCTCTCACTCTGTCCCCGCTGGGCTCCATCCATCCATCTCTCACTCTGGCTGTCTGACTCTCGCTCTGTCGGTCCGCCTTTCTCTCTGTCCCGTCCATCTCTCGCTCTGTCCTCCCTGGGCTCCGTCCATCCATCTCTTTCTCTGTCCATCTGTCTCTCTCTCTGTCCCCGCTGGGGTCCATCCATCCATCTCTCACTCTGTCCGTCCGCCTCTCTCTCTGTCCGTCTGTCTCTCGCTCTGTCTGCACTGGGCTCCGTCCATCCGCCTCTCTCTGTCCATCCGTCTCTCGCATTGTCCATCCGTTTCTTGCTCTGTCCCTGCTGGGCTTCGTCCGCCCGCCTCTCGCTCTGTCCGTCCGTCTCTCTCTCTGTCCGTCCACCTCTCTTTCTGTCCGTCTGTCTCTTGCTCTGTCCCCGCTGGGCTCCGTCCATCCGCCTCTCTCTCTGTCCATCCATCTCTTGCTCTGTCCCCGCTGGGCTCCGTCCATCCATCTCTCTCTGTCCGTCCATCTCTCACTCTGTCCCCGCTAGGCTCCGTTCATCTGCCTCTCTCTCTCTGTCCATCCTTCTCTCGCTCTGTTTGTCCGCCTCTCTCTCTGTCTGTCCGCCTCTCTTTCTGTCCGTCCGTCTCTCACTCTGTCCGTCTGTCTCTTGCTCTGTCCCCACCTCACTCTGTCTGTCCGTCCATCTCTCTCTCTCTCTCTCATGCTCTTGCTCCCAAAGGGTGCCCCTGAGGGGGTTATTGACCGCTGTAACTATGTCCGAGTGGGCACCACCCGTGTCCCCCTCACGCCCCTGGTGAAAGACAAGATCTTGACCATCATCAAGGAGTGGGGACGGGGCGGGACACACTGCGCTGCCTGGCTCTGGCCACACGTGACACCCCCCCAAGGAGAGAGGACATGGTGCTGGAGGACTCTGCCAAGTTTGTCGAGTATGAGGTCAGGTTCAGCCCCCCCCCCGCCCCCCACCCATGGGATGGTGGGGCAGTGTTTGTGGGGGGTCAGTGCTGGTTGGGAGAGTGGTTGGGGGGTTCGATGGGGGCTGGTTGAGGCAGTGGTTGGGGGGTTGGATGGGGGCTGGTTGAGGCAGTGGTTGGGGGGTCGGATGGGGGCTGGTTGAGGCAGTGGTTGGGGGGGTTAGGGTGGGGGTTGGTTGGGGCAGTGGTTGGGGGGTTGGTTGGAGAGTGGCTGAGGGGTCAGGGTGGGGATTGTTTGGGGGGATGAGCATGGGGGTTGGTTAGGACATAGTTGGGGGATGAAGGCAGGGGCGTGGTTGGGGAGGGTTTGGGGAGATGAAAGCAGGGGTTGGTTCAGGGCTGGGAGTGGGGGGCTGGGGGGTTGTTTAGGGAGTGGTTCAGGGAATGGGGGCGAGGTGGTTGGGGCGTGGTTTGGGGGTGAGTGTGGGGATGTGGTTAGGGGATGGATAGGGCAGTTGGGGGTGAGGATGGGGGTGTGGTTGGGTGAATGGGGTGGGGTGGTTGGGGTGTGTTTGGGAGATGGGGAGGGTTGGTTGGGAGAGTGGGGGTGGGGTTGGGGGATGGGAGTATGGTTGAGGGCATGGATGGGGGAGTGTGCGGGGTTTGGTTAGAGCATGTTTGGGGGCTGGTGGACTGGTTGGGGCATGGTTGGGGAATGGGGGATGGTTGGGGAGTGGTTGCGGGATGGGGCAGGGGTTGGTTGGGGTGTGGTGGGGGGATTGGGGCTGGTCGGGGTTGGGTTGGGGGATGGGGGTTGGCTGGGGTCTGGTTGGAGGGTTGCTATGGGCGCAGCATGTGCTAATAGCTCCCCCCCCAAAGGTGGACCTGACCTTTGTGGGCTGTGTGGGGATGTTGGACCCACCCCGGAAGGAGGTGATGAGCTCCATCCAGTTGTGCCGTGACGCCGGCATCCGCGTCATCATGATCACGGGGGACAACAAGGGCACGGCCATCGCCATCTGCCGCCGCATCGGGATCTTCACCGAGGAGGAGGAGGTGATGGGCAGGGCCTACACAGGCCGCGAGTTCGACGACCTGCCCCCCGCTGAGCAGCGCGAGGCCTGCAAGCGGGCCTGCTGCTTCGCCCGTGTCGAGCCCACCCACAAATCCAAGATCGTGGAGTTCCTGCAGTCCTTTGATGAGATCACAGCCATGGTGAGGGGGGACCCTAGGGGGGTGCCATAGTGAGGAGGGGATCACTGGGGTGGGGGCAGAGAGCAGGGGAAGGGAAGAGGGTCCCTGCCATGGCAGGAGGAGACAGGCTGTGCTAAGGAACTGTGAGCTCAGGGATGCGGGGGTCAGCGGGGTTTGGGGATCCCACACTCAGTGGCTTACCCCTCTCACACACAGACAGGCGACGGGGTGAATGATGCCCCTGCGCTGAAGAAGGCCGAGATCGGCATCGCCATGGGCTCTGGCACAGCTGTGGCCAAGACGGCCTCCGAGATGGTCCTGGCTGATGACAACTTCTCGACCATTGTGTCTGCCGTGGAGGAGGGCAGGGCCATCTACAACAACATGAAGCAGTTCATCCGCTACCTCATTTCCTCCAACGTGGGCGAGGTCGTATGGTGAGTGCCCCGCCCCCCGACTGCAACCATCCTGTCCCCTCAACCCACCCCCAGCCATGCCAACCTTCGCTCCCCTCCCCAGCCACGCCAGCCTTCTCCCTCCCCTTCCCCAGCCATGCCAGACGTCCCCTCCCCTCTCCCACCTACACCAGCCTTCCTCTCCCCTCACCCCAAGCCACGCCAGCCTTGTCCCTCCCCTCCCTTCCCCTCCCCCAGCCATGCCAGGCTTGTCCCTCCCCTCCTTCCAGCCACGCCAGACTTGCCCCCACCCAACCCCCAGCCACACCTGACTTGTCCTTCCCCTCCCCCAGCCACACCAGCCTTGTGTGATGAAGTGGGAATTTTCTGTAGTGTTTTTGAGTCCTATGTGGGCCTCAGTTTCCCCTGTATTTTGCATGGCTTCCTGGGGCAGGGCGGGGCTAAATTTGCTCTCACCACAGTGTGTGTCACCTCACTGACTGAGCAGGGAGAGGCGATTCCAATGGGCTGGCTGAGGCCCACCCCCTCAATGAAAAATCAGAACAATGGAAGCCCCTCCCCAGGACATGGTCCGCTGCGCCCACCCAGCCAGCAGGCGATGGGTTCCCCGCCTCTCAGCTGGAGGCTGAGCAGAGATCCAGCTCCATCTGGACTAGGGGCTGAGGTGCGGGTGGGGGAATAGAGGGCTGCCTGCTGGAAGCTCTTACCTGGGACCTGCCAAGCAGGTCAGACAGAGGGACGGACAGACAGACAGAGCCTGTGCCAAGGGTTTCCCCAAGGCCTGGCGGGGCTCTGGGCTGAGCAGAATGGACTGGGCTGTAACCTGCACCCCTCTGCGCGACCCTAAGGGCTCCCTGTGCCTTGCCCAGCTGACTAACACACCTGACTGTGCGCCAGTGTTGAGGGACTGTCCCTGCCACGCTGGGTGAGGGCACCGTCCTGGCAGCGTGGGCGCGTCTCTGCCAGGGTCTGGCTCAGCGGGACTCACTGGGCAGAGCTCACGGGGGAAGCAGGAGGCTGCAGCCCAGAGATCCAGTCCAAGGAGGCAGTGAGGCCGTGTGGCTGACCCTGGAGGAAGAGGGACACACCAGGGGGTTTGACACACTGAAGGAGACCCCTAGAGACGGCTGCAAAGATGGGGGTGTCGCACTGATCCTGGAGATCCGGGACACCTTGCCCTGCCCCCCCCCAAACACACCAGCCCTGCCCCTCTTCTGTCTCTCACTCCCCCTGTCTCCCCACAGTATCTTTCTCACAGCTGCTCTGGGCCTTCCAGAAGCCTTGATCCCCGTGCAGCTGCTGTGGGTGAACCTGGTGACTGACGGGCTCCCGGCCACTGCTCTGGGCTTCAACCCCCCGGACCTGGACATCATGGACAAGCCGCCCCGCAGCCCCAAGGAACCCCTCATCAGTGGCTGGCTCTTCTTCCGCTACATGACCATTGGCGGTAAAGCCTTCCCACCCTCTCCTGCAAAGCCCCATCCCCTTCTGCCCCGCATTCATGCCTCCCCTCTCTGCTCTGCCCACAGGCTACGTCGGAGCTGCCACGGTGGGTGCCGCTGCCTGGTGGTTCCTCTATGCAGAGGATGGTCCTGGCGTCTCCTATCACCAGCTGGTGAGAGCTGGCCCCAGTGCAGAGCTGGGGGGCCTGTGCTGTGTGTGTGTGGGGAGGGCTCAGCTGGGTGCTCTCCCCAGCAGTCAGTGCTGGCCCCAATGCCCCAGTGCAGAGCTGGGGGGCCTGTGCTCGGGCGGGGGAGGGGGGGATTCTGTGTCCCTTGCAAGGAGCCGTGTGGGGCAGGAGTTCGGATGGCAGCACTGTGCTGTCTGCATTTTGACACCCCCCTCCCCCCCAGTCCCATTTCATGCAGTGCACGGAGGAAAACGTGGACTTTGAGGGGCTGGACTGCGAGGTATTCGAGTCGCCTGTGCCCATGACCATGGCCCTGTCTGTGCTGGTCACCATCGAGATGTGCAACGCCCTCAACAGGCAAGGACCCCTCCCTGCCCTCCCCTCCCCTCCCCTCCCCACCCACCGGCCCAGCCCCTCGCTCACTCTGCTGCTCTCTCTGCACAGCCTGTCTGAGAACCAGTCCCTGGTGCGCATGCCACCCTGGGTGAACATCTGGCTGCTGAGCTCCATCTGCCTCTCCATGTCCCTGCACTTCCTCATCCTCTACGTCGACCCCCTGCCCGTAAGTGCGGCCCTGCCCAGATGCCTATGCAGCACAGTGCCCAGGCGGGGGGAGGAGGGGCGGGTTACTCTCACCGCCAGTGGTAGAAGGTCCCATCTGCTCCCACCCCTCCCTGAGCCCTGCTCCCCAGGGCTCTGGCATTGCCCATCCCCAGCACCAGAGGCTCTGGGCTTGCCCTGTGGAGACATTTCCCCAGGCTCGAGTGCCCCTGCCTTGTTCTCCCCATGACCTCCTCCTCCCCCTTTGCTGTCCCCCCCCCGCCCAGATGATCTTCAAACTGACACCACTGGACCTGACCCACTGGCTTGTGGTGCTGAAGATCTCGTTCCCTGTCATCCTCCTGGATGAGGTGCTGAAATTTGTCGCCCGGGACTACCTGGAAGGTAAGGATGCATCCCTGCCATGGGGCAGGCCTGGGTCACCTGGCCCAGCTGCAGCCCCATAGGAGCCTCCCAGCAGGATTCATCAGTTGGAGCTGTGTTGTGAATTTGTGCAGATGCCAGTCCCACCCGATGGGACACAGTGCAGGGACCTGCCCCCAAGCTCCAGCTGGCACCAGGGTGCCACCCCCTTCTCTGTCTTCCATCCCCTCCATACCACTAACCATGAACCATCAGCATCACCTGCCATGTAACAGACCCATCAGGGCAGCTCAAACGGGCCCAGAACAGCCCCAGCACCACAGAGAGCAAGCTGCACAGAGCTGGGTGCTTACTGCTCTTGGGGCTAGAGCAGGGGGGCTGGGAGCTAGGACTCCTGGGTTCTATCCAAGATCTGGGAGGGAAGTGGGGTACAGTGGTTAGAATGGCAAAATAGGAGTCAGGACTCTTGGGTTCTATCCCAGCTCTGGCAGGGGAGTGGGGCCCAGTGGTTAGAGCAGGGGGAGCTGGGAGCCAGGACTCCTGGGTTCTATCCTGGCTCTGGGAGGGAAGTGGGGCCTGGTGGGTTAGAGCAGGGGGGCACTGAGAGCCAGGACTCTTGGTTTCTATCCCAGCTCTGGGAGGGGAGTGGGGTACAGTGGTTAGAGCAGTGGGACCAGAGTCAGGGTTCCTGTTGTTTTTTACCCCATCTGTCCCTGCCACCTGTTGTAATCCGTGTCCTTCTGGGAGTATCTGTTTCCAGTCTCCCCAAGGGGCTGGGCCAGACTGCTGCTGAGCCCCCCCACCCCCTACTCTGTGCTGCTCTGGTGTGGGTTTGAGCCCCATGCCCTTGATGGGTTTCACCTTCCATCCATCCATCCATCCATCCATCCATCCCTTGTGCAGGTCTGGACTAACTCTCTCTCCCGCACAACCTCCTCCCCTGCGCTCTGTTAACACTGGTTTCTTTTATCCTTTCCCCTTGTAGCGTAATCTCCTTTCCCTCCATCTCCTTGATCCTGTGTCTCAGGTATCCCACGATCCTTTGCTGCATGCCTTGCCTGCCCCATGTCTGTCTGTGCCAAGGGGCGCTGCAGAGTGTGTGTGCATGTGAAATCTCATTGCTTTACCAGCTACTCCTGGCTGGGTCCCCACTGCAGTTTGGCAGTTGGGGTCTGGGGTCGGGTGGTGTCGCCTGTTTGAGCCTTAGTGCCGCTATCTGCCTGGGCCAGGTACCCCCATTGCCTTCCCTGCCCCCCGCTGCGCCTCTCCATTCCCTTCCACTCACCCCCTGGCTGTGGAGACCCAAGGGGTGTCACTCTGATGCTGTCACACATGCTGCTGCTGCGCTAGGAGCTCTTCCCCCACGGCCCATCATCCTCCAGCTGCCACCAAAGGAGCCAGTTGCTGTTGCTCTTGTTTCCACCAGCTGCGACACTTAGATGACCAGATCGCAAGAGTTAAATATCGCAGGCTCACAGCACCCCCCCGAGCCACGGGGGATGGGGGAGCACAGCTCTAGGAATCTGCGAGTGCGACATTCGGCCCCTGCTGCAGCCCCCACCACAAGCGGTGGGTCAGGGGCGCATGGTCCCGGTTCCAGCCCCTGGTGCAAGGGTGGGGCTCAGGGCTGGGGCAGGGGGTTGGCATGCAGCAGGGGGTACAGGGTATGGGCTCCCAGCAGGCTCTGGGGAAGCGGTGATATCTCCCACTGGCTCCTAGGCGGCGGCGCGACCAGGCAGCTCTGTGCGCTGCCTCCACCCACCGGCGCCTCTCCGCAGCTCCCATTGGCCACGGTTCCTGGCCAATGGGACCTGCGGAGCCGGTGCTTATGGTGGGGGCAGGACACAGAGCCCCCTGGCTGTCCGTGTGCCTAGGAGCCAGGGGGAGATATCGCCACTTCTGAGAAGCTGTGTGGAGCCAGGTAGAGAGCCTGCCAGCTCCGCACCAACCAGAGGCTTGGCAACCCTACAGTATCAGGACATCAGTTGGCACACGGGCAAAGAGTTAAATATTGGGACGTCTGGTCACCCTAGCTGCTCTGCGGGGGTGAGGATAGGGCCTGGAGACAGCAGCTCCTGGCACTGCTGAGATCCCTGCCGAGCAGCTGCTGGTTAACTAGGGAAGTGGAAATGGTTCCTCCCACTTAGTGCCTCCCTGTGTATTAGCACCAGTCAGCCCCTGCCCTGCCCCAGAGAGAGACCGCTCTGCTCGAGTGCTGCCTGGGGGTGGGGGCAGCGAGCCACAAGAGGGTGGTGCAGAGGGCCAGATTACAGGTCATTCTGGGCTTTTTCGACTGGTGAGACAAGGGCTGGACACCAGACCTTGGAGGCCATCCTGCCATTGGGACACAAACCCTGCCACCTGGGGCTGGTCACTGGCCCGGCCCTGAGGACCGCCCCCCTCCCCGCCCACCTTGTCTCATGTGTCCCCTCTCTCCCCACAGTGGGTTTAGAAGACCCGAAGAGGAGGAAGAAGTGACACCTCTGGCCACTAGAGAAACTGCATCTTCACCCCAACAGTGAAGAACCGCTCGGTGCCCCCTCGCCTCCCCACGAGCCTCGGCCACCCCCTCTTATTTAACAGTTGCTCCCCTCCACCAAAGGCTGCAAGCAGCCCTCCTTCTCCTCCCCCAGCCGGGTGGGGGGGACATCATGGGGGTTTGCCCGCTGTGTTTGGAGAATGGGGGGAAGCTCCCCCTTGCAAACTGCCTGCCCTCCTCCCGGCGTTCTAGCTACTTTGCTTCTGTACATTTTGAGCTGCTAGTCTGTCCTAGCGGCCCCTGCCCATCCCGCCTCCCCCCGTCAAGCCCATTTCCTTGCTGGGCACCCAGCCCATTCGCTGTGTTACCAGCTCACACCCAGTGACCTCCTCACTCACCGGGTGGGTTTTTTTTTTAATGCAAAAGATAACTGAACAGATGGAAACATTTTGTCAGGCCAATGTGCAGCTCGCAGAGAAGGAAATTAAGAGACTGTTCTAGCTGCTTATTTATTGACATTAAAAGATAAACTCCTTAACGCTGTGTGCGCTCCAGCCTCTTCCTTTGCTTCCTTGGAAAGGGGACGGGCAGGAGCCACAATTGCTGCTCTTTTGAAAAGTACCGCAATCGGAGGAGTGGTCGGAAAAGGCCGAGATGTGTGACCTGAAGCGTGCCCCCTGCTGGCCCTGGGTGGTATTATGGCTACTCCCAGCCCCACTGGGGGAGCGTGGAAAAAGTCAATGGCTGCAATGGGGCTGTTGCTTCTGCCAGAGAGCTCCAAAGCCCAGCAACTGTTGGAATATGGGCTGGAATTTTCTTTTGATGCTCATTCTGTAACCCCACTGACTGCAACTGAGGTTGGTGCGTGAGCTCCCCCCTGCATTGTGTGTGTGTGTGGGGGGTGTAGGTGTGTGGGGGGGTGTAGGTGTGCGTGGGGTGTGTGTGGGGGGTGTAGGTGTGTGTGTGGGGTGTAGGTGTGTGTGTGGGGGTGGGGGGTGCAGCTGCAGAGGCAGGTGTGTGTGAGAGCAAAAACCCTGTGGGGGAATGAAATACAGGGGGCAGGGCTCAGTGAGCTGTTTGGGGCTCAGGCACCTTCTCTCTGCCGCAGAAACATGACCTGATGCGAGGTGGGTGGTGGGTCCTTGCAGCATATGTCAGTTATAGTCTCATCTCCAGAACTGTTTTGGGAAGGGCTCTTAGAGTGACCCTCTGTGAGAACCAGCCCTCAGATAGGCAGCACAAACCCTATTTCCCTGCCCCACAAGTAGAACGGGCCAGCCCTGGCCAAGGAGCTGCTACCTCCTAGTCTCTAAAAGAAAAAGGAGTGCTTGTGTCACGTTAGAGCAGGGGTCCCGAACGCAGTGCCCGCAGGTGCAATGGCGCCCACCGGGGCAGTTCTGTGCACCCACAAGACACCACGCCGCCAAAATGCTGCCACCGAGCGTGGCCACTGGAGACCCGCCCACCGAAATGCCGCCGAGAAGCGTTGCTGTTTCTCAGCGGCATTTTGGCGGCTGTGCTTCTTTCCGCTTCTGCTTGTTGGCGGCATTTCAGCAGCAGGGTGTCTGGCGTCCGCCACAGTCTTCTGGGAATAGGAATGTGCTATTCCCACAGAAAGGTTGGGGACCACTGCCTTAGAGACGAACAAATTTATTTGAGCATAAGCTTTCATTGGCTAAAGCCCACTTCGTCAGATGCATGCAGTGGAAAATACAGTCCCTGTTTCTCTGCTGCCCTGATGGCCTTTTTTGGAGCCACCATCGGGCACCAGAGGTGCAACAGGAGCTGGAGCAAATTGAGCTCACAGCACGCTGGGCCCATGCTCTGATTATGAAAACAGGTGCCCACAGTCCCCCGTGGCACACAATCAGTGCAGGTGAAAAGCAGGAGCCGGGCGAGCCCCCAAACAAAGCAGATGCAGCTTAGCGGCTGCTGGTGCAGAAGGTGATAAGAAGGGGAGGGTTGGGGTTACTGCTTGGGACCCTATTACAGCATATACTGGGGCAAATGATTGCTAGGCCCCGGGCTGCATTCCATAAGGCAGCAGGCTGGCAGCAGAGGGCGCCATGCCAGGCAGTGCCACCCTTAGGCAAATGTTGGAGGAGCAGAAGACACCTGTGCTTCCAGTAGGACGTGCTGACCGCATAGTGAGGGAGAGGCGTGAGGACACTAGAATAACCTCTTCCCCATGGGGGGCAGTGACCCCTGGTGGCCTGGATAGAGGGGCACTTACAGAGCTGTGTGGGGAGCCTCTTACTGGGCTAGCAGGGTGCTGGGGCTCGGGTTTGCCGGGCACTGGAAGAGGTTGGGGTGGGGTTGGGGGGCAAAGGCTGGGCTAGCAGGGGGCTGTGGGTTGAGTTTGCCGGGCACTGGAAGAGGTTGGGGTGGGGTTGGGGGGCAAAGTCTGGGCTAGCAGGGGGCTGTGGGTTGAGTTTGCCGGGCACTGGAAGAGGTTGGGGTGGGGTTGGGGGGCAAAGGCTGGGCTAGCAGGGGGCTGTGGGTTGAGTAGATTGGGGGGACAAGGGCTGGACTAGCAGGGGGCTGTGGGTTGAGTAGATTGGGGGGACAAGGGCTGGGCTAGCAGGGGGCTGTGGGTTGAGTAGTTTGGGGGGACAAGGGCTGGACTAGCAGGGGGCTGTGGGTTGAGTAGATTGGGGGGACAAGGGCTGGGCTAGCAGGGGGCTGTGGGTTGAGTTTGCCGGGCACTGGAAGGGGTCGGGGGGCAAGTACCAGACTAGCAGGGGGCTGTGGGTTGAGTAGATTGGGGGGACAAGGGCTGGGCTAGCAGGGGGCTGTGGGTTGAGTTTGCCGGGCACTGGAAGGGGTCAGGGGGGCAAGTACCGGACTAGCAGGGGGCTGAGGGTTGAGTAGATTGGGGGGACAAGGGCTGGGCTAGCAGGGGGCTGTGGGTTGGATTTCCCGGATACTAGCAGGACTGGTGGTGGGAGGAAGGACCAGAAAGTGCACTGCCTCCACACAGAGCCCAAATGAGACCTGGAGGAAGCAGAGACAGGAAGGGGAAGGTGGATCCGTGCACCAAATTCCTTGTTGCCGCTCCCCTCAGGGAAATCGTGGCCAGAGCAACCGCAGAAGCCTTCCGGCACTACCTCCTCCAGGCCTGTAGCTACCCCTGCAAGACACTGACGGCCCAAGGGCTGCGCTTTCAGTCACAGCTGGTCGAGGCATTGTGCTCTCTGTACCGCAGCCACACGAAGGGCATCAGCCTACCACCCACAAGGCACTGACACCTGCCAGCGGGACCAGGGACCCTGTCAGAGCTGCAGCACCTGCCAAAGCGGACCACCTGCTAACGACCCAGTGCACGCTGCCACTGAGCACCTCCCAGTGGCACTGGGCTCACATGGGATCCCAACTGCAAGCGCCTGGACTGCGGTCCTAACCCCAAGGCAGGGCCCAAGCAGTGGGAGGCCCAGGAGGAGGAGGCATCGAAGCCTGACCCTGGTGGGGTGGTGAGGAGAACAGAACAATGAGGCAGAAGCAACCCAACATTCTCACAGGTCAAATGGGGGGGGGGGCACCCCTACTTGAATGAAACAGGCGTGCTGAGCGTGGCCTAGCCATGGGGCATGCCTGCTACCTGGGGACAGGTGTGTTTCCCCAGCCTTGCTTCTTTGCTCATACCTGATTGGCTGGAGGCGGGGGGAAGGTGCCACTCCAAACAAGGATACAGGTTTAACTATAAAAAGAAAAGGAGGACTTGTGGCACCTTAGAGACTAACCAATTTATTTGAGCATAAGCTTTCGGCTGTTACTCTGAAACCTGAGGTTTAACTATGACAGGTTTCAGAGTAGCAGCCGAGTTAGTCTGTATCCACAGAAACAAAAGGAGGACTTGTGGCACCTTAGAGACTAACATATTTATTTGAGCATAAGCTTTCGTGAGCTACAGCTCACTTCATCGAATGCATTCAGTGGAAAATACAATGGGGAGATTTATATACACAGAGAACATGAAACCACTATGGTCCACCAGGGAGGGCTTGAGCCAATGAGCAGATGGGGTGGGGGGAGGAGGATGGGGGACAAGCCCAGGAAGATTTGGAGAAGGGAGGGGAATAAAGACAGACCAGGAGAAGAAGTAGGTGCTCTGAGCTGACAGCTTGCAGGCAGGTGGGGCTGCTCCAGGGGTTTGCACCCGTGGGAGGCAGAGTGTGTATCTAGGCAGGTGCTGTACCAGGGGAAGGGAGTCGGGAACTCCTGCCAGACCCTGACCTGGGACTGTTCCTGGCCGGGCTTAACTCTGACCCCACCTAGGAGGGAGGGCTGGTGTTTGTGCAAACAGGGGGCTGGGAACTGGGACCCCTTCCCCAACCTTAGGATTCCCACACCCAGAGCAAGGTGTGGGGGTTTCTACAGGACCTGCTCTCACTAGGAATGGATTTGGACCAAGTTCTAATTGTGCCCGACAGACAGTGGTGCAAGTAGGGAGGTCCGGTCCACAGTACCATTAAGATATTTATTGCTGGTAGGCTGTACCGGATAGACACAGGAGCACAATGTGAGCAGCCCCATGCCGGCTGCTCCTCTGGTGCAGCTGTACCGCCCCCAGTCCTGCCCCCAACCCTTCCATGCAGTTGCATCTCCTGTCTGAGGTCTGTACAGCCCTGCCAGAGGACAGGGCTGGGAGCGGGCTGGGGACAGTACAGCCAGGCACCAGAGCAGCCCCACATTCTGCCCATGGGTAACATGGGATGGGGAGGGGACAGGGAGAGTGTGAGGGCCCCGGGCTGGGGGTAGGGAAAAGTTACATGCCCCGCCCCCTTCAGCTGGTGCCCCCCTCTGTGTCCCTCCTATGAGTCACCTATGCTCAGCATACAGGTAAGAAATGAACTCAACTTGCACCAATGATGGTTTGATACAAATATTGCTGTTTTTGGACTACAAATTGTATTTGATTTTTTTCGAAAGCAAAATCTGTTTCTTTAGAAGTAAATTGTAATCGATCCCTTTTCCATGAAAATGTGATTTTTTCCCCCAA